AGAATACTGGAGTGGTTTACCATTCCCTTCTCCAGGGGATCTTCCTGTCTCGGGGATCAAACCCAAGTCTCCTTCACTGTAGGCAGATTCTTTACCATCTGAGCCACCTGGCTGAGATTCAAACCCAAGCTTTCTAGCCCCACATCCTGTTCTTTTAGTTTGCATTATTTCACCTTATTGTCTTAACTAATGAGAAATTTCATTTTATTCATTCATTCACCAGCAACCAAGAGCTAAGCAGCGGAAACACCCAGCCCCTACCTTATAGGAGTTTCCTTCCTGGTGGAGTAGTTCAGACTTAAGCTTACTATTCAATGTGCAGGGGCTTTGGTAACAGAGAGGAAGCTGGGGGTTATAGTTCCCATTAAGCAGACAAGGAAACTGAAGGAAGGGGTGGATTTGACCTTCTGGATCATGAATAAATCAATAACAGAGCCTCACCCAGGGCTCAGGACTCCTAGGCTCACTGAGTACATTTTGCATTTTCTGAGAATCTTGCCAAATGCATACTTGTGGACTTGGATAAGCGCCTTGGCAACGATCCTACATACGTTTATCGTTACCGGTGCTTGACTAATTTAGGAGGGACCAGAGACGCTTCCAACATGGCTTAATGGGTCACGTGCTCCAGGTTTCCTTCCTTCTGCGCTGCCCCACGTCGTGGGCGCCCCCGCCCCCGCCCCGCCCCGGCCAGGGTTGCTAGGCAACCAGTAAACTCCGGAGCCGTTTGAGAAGCTCTGGGGTCAAGCTCCGCGACTCGGGGGCTTCCCCAGCGGCAGCAGGACCCGACCGAGGTTAAGGGGCGGACGCGGGGAGGATGACCGCGGCTGAAGAGAAGCCTGGAGAGTGAAAGGGAGCCCCAGAGGGTGAGAAATACCGCTAGTGCGAGAAACTCCTCGTGGGGCGTCCTTCCGGGCTAGCTCTGCCGGATGATGGACCCCGAGGACCAGCGCTCCTAGGGTCCCCCGCCCATCAGTCCTCGCTGCCCTCGATGTTCCCGGAGTCCCAGGACCCAGCAAGTTCCAGACACCCTGCCTCCTACACCCCTTGCGGCCAGTCCGGTCCTGATGACGGACCGCATCAGACCGTCCATCTCCTGGCGGGAGGATGGGAGAACTTCTAAAGGGTTTACAGCCCCCTTGATAGAAAATACAGCCTGGGGCTGGAGTGGTGGGCGGCCCAGCCGAGTGAAGAGGAGAGCCTTCTGCTTAGAATGTAGGGAAGGGCGTTCGAGTTACTGAGCCCGTCTGCAGGGGCGGGTCCTCTGCAACATTTCACCTATTCCTCATCCCCGAGTGGGCATCCGGATGCCCTTAGGGTATGGCAGTCCCTTCTTCCTGCAACAAGTTCACAGTTTATCACAGTCTCTTGAGCCACACGAGTGCATTCTTCTCCCAGCGTTCAGACCCAGTGTCTTCCTCCTACATCGCTAGCTTGCTGGCCTTTTTCTCATCAGAAGAGGAGGGGCATGGAAGAGACCTCTAGGGGAGTGTGCTGGCGGATTGGGGTCACATCGCTCGTTTAGCATGTGACGAAGGGAGGAGGGGGCCCCCTGAGCCAGGCCCTGGGGACGGGAGTGAATAGAAGACCACAGTCTTCTAATTAGGAATCATTACTCTCAGGGACTGTCATTATTAACGAAGATTCATTGTTGTTGTTGTTTAGTCACTAAATTGTGTCTGACTCTTTTGTGACCTCATACACTGTAGCCCGCCAGACTCCTCTGTCCATGAGATTTTTCCAGGCAAGAATACCGTAGTTGCCATTTCCTTCTCCAGGGAATCTTCCTCACCCAGGGATCAAACCCACATCCCTCGCATTGGCAGGTGGATTTTTTACCACTGAGTCTCTAGGGAAGCCCAATGACTATTAGTACCACATCAAAAAAAAAAAAAAAAAGAAAAGACCATAGTCTTGGCTCAAGGGGACCGTGCTGTAGTGGGCAGAGCAGGGAAACAGAGGCCCACATCACCCTCCAGGTCTGGGGACCTCCTCCCACCTCTGGCTGTCTTCAGCCTCCACCTCTTGGAGCTCATCCCAGGTTGACCCCAGTGTGGAGCACAGGAAGGAATTCCCAGGGAGATCAGCCACTTTTGAAGGCGAGTGAGTCCCTTATGACCGCAAGTTCCAGAAGGTGCATAGACAGAAGAAAGAGGGCAGGAAGTCCCTCCCCCTACAGTCCTTTGTCCAGCCAGATGCAGCACAAAGACTGGAGACTGCCCCAGGGACAAGAAGGAGAGACCTTGTCACCTTTGTAACTCCAGGGAGTCCAGTGGTGGGGGAAGGTGGCCGCCCTCCACTTGCCTGCCCGTGAAGCTCCTACACTGAACTTCTCAGCCACCCCCCACCAGTCCCTCATCTCTTCGTTTCTCTGAAGCCAAAGGAGGTTCTTTCCAGGAATCACTTCGCTCGTTATCATTGCACAAGCCGAGTCTTGTTTTTCTGTTTGGAGAAGGTTCTGATCTGACTGCCCCAGGATGTCGGAGGCGGTTGCATATTTGGCATTCAGAGCAGCCTGTCTCTAATTCCACGTGGTCTTTTGTTTGAGATGCTTGTGGGGCTGAGGTTCCCACGGGTGGCATCTCCTCCCCCCAAAGTCCCAGAGGGCAGTGAGGCGGCTCCTGCCTCCCCTGGAAGCCCCCTTTGCAGACAGCCTTACTCAGGCACTGCTTGGCGCAGCCCAGCCTTTGAGACTTGTCTCACCAGGACGGGGAGAGACCTCCTGAGACCACCCCCCCACCAGCTCTGACCTCACCATTCATCTTCATCCTCCACCAGCTTGTGAAAAGAGCCCACTTTGGGTCCTTGAATGAGCTGTCTTCCCATCACCCAGCCAGCCTTTAAATGTCCCCTCTGTCTGCCTCCAGATAGAAAACAATGCCTCTGTTCTCACTCCTGGCTTGGCCTTGGGAAGCACCAAGAAGGAAAGCAAAGCTGTTAAAAATATGATCTGGGCTAAAGAGGCTATTTTTGTCTTCCTAGGCTTTTCTTGTGTTCTTAAGACCCCTTGTGTCCCCTAGGAGCTGGCTGTTCTTGTGTTCTTAAGACCCCTTGTGTCCCCTAGGAGCTGGCTGTCTCCTGGCAGTTGTCTCTTTTTAACAGAGGGAGAGATGAGTAGCCTGTGGTTACAGAGTCTGGCAGTCCTTGGGGGGCGAGGGTTGGGACGTGGAGGGGTGGGGGGCGCAGGTGCAGCCTTGTAGTTCAGCGATGTGCTGGCGGCCAGGGAAATGCTCACTGGGTGTGCATCCTTTTCCACGAGGCTCTGTCTTGTCCATGAAAAATAAACCATTAGGGCAACCTGCTGTCTTTTGTGCTTCTGTCCCCATCCTCTGTTCTCCAAGCCATTGCTCCTACCCTTCCTGGGTAGAAAAGTTTCCAAACCACAAGAAAGAGCGGAAAATACTACTCCCCATGAGTCTGATGCAGGATGAGCTGTTCTGGGGCTGAGAAGTAGGCGGTTGGGAGGGTAGTAGTGTCTTCAACAAACAACGCCTGTGGATGCAAAGTGGCCTAGTAGTTAACCCTCATCGCCCTCACCCCCTGTCCCCGCTGTTCCAGGGCCTGAGGCCATCCAGGCACATGCTTCTAGGCTGCCCGCAGAGCTCTTGGCCCTATATCTCAGGGGACAGCAGCCTGGACCCACCCGTCTGGTTCCTTGCAGCCCTGGAGTTTGGGGAGGAAGGACAGACACGTATCTGGTCTTAATAGTCATCTGGGGTGACTGTACAAATGTCTAAGCCTCGTCTCAGACACGTAGATCAGTGTTTACAGGAAGGGGGCTGGGAATTTCTGTGTTTTGAAGGGACATTCCAGATTTGAGAAACGTTGGTTCTGAGATTAAGAACCCTCACTTTAAATCGGTGGTTCTCATCCTTGGCTGCACGCTGAGAGATTATGATTTAGTTACTCTGCAGTTCAACCTGAGCATTGTGGTATTTTCCAGAGCCCTCCAGGTGTTCCTAAGTGTGTAGCCAAGGTTGAGAATCACTACTGTATTTTTGTTGGTTTTGGCTGTGGGATCTCAGATCAGAGATTGAACCTGCATCCTCCGCTGTGGTCCATTTTGAGTCATATTTTCGTTTGGCGTGTGGTAGGAACCTGGGGTCATTCTTTTGCCTGTGAAGGTACAGCATCCCCAACATCATTTGTTTAAAAGACCATCCTCTCCCCATTGTGTTGTCTTAGCACCTTCATTGAAAATCAATTGACCATAGATATAAAGGTTTATTTCTGAGCGCTCAATTCCATTCCATTGATTTAAATGTCTGTCCTTATGCCAGCACATCACTCTGTCTTGACTATTCAGTTTTGGTTTTTTTAACGTGGACCATTTTTAAAGTCTTAATTGAATGCGTCACACCATTGCTTGTTTTATGTTTTGGGTTGTTGGCCTGTGGGATATTACTTCCCGACCAGGGATCAAACCCGCACCCCCTGCACTGGAAGGCGAAGTCTTAACCGCTTGTCCACCGAGGAACTCCCTATTCATGGTTTTAACAAATGCTTTCTGACAAAGTAAGTGAAATCATTGTCAGGTTCAGCAAGTGGCAGGGAATTTAGTTCAACATAATCGCCACCAGTATTTCTTCCTTGCCTCTGGATAATCATATTAGCTCAGCAAAAACTGTACCAATCGCTGAGGTAGAGCTTTGGAGTCGGGCAGACCAGCAGCTCCCCTTGTTGGCTTTGTGGTCCCGGGCAAGGCCTTCTGGGTCCCTGTGAATATCAGGTTCCTCCAAAGGGGATTGGTGATCTTATTGTCCACTTCAGAGGGCAACTGTAAGAACCAATCAAGATAACGCTTAGCCTATAGTCATCACTCCAGAAATTTTTTTTCAAATGCAGCTCAGCTTCTGGACGAATCCCTTAGGAGCCTTCCCACCACACCCAGAGAGGCAACACGGAGCCGCTTGCAGTGCTGGGGCTCCTGGAGACCAGGAGGTAGCCAGCTGGGGGTCCTCACCACACACCCCCCCCCCGTCCCTGCCGCAGCCGGTACCATGGAGATTGTGTACGTGTACGTGAAGAAGCGCAGCGAGTTTGGGAAGCAATGCAACTTCTCTGACCGCCAGGCAGAGCTGAACATCGACATCCCGCCCAACCCCGAGCTGGCCGAGCAGTTCGTAGAGCGGAACCCGGTGGACACGGGCATCCAGTGCTCCACCAGCATGTCAGAACATGAGGTGGGTCCCTGAGCCAAGGGCCGGGCCAGCGGAGGTGTGGTCTGGCGGGGTGGCAGGTCAGGGCTGGTAAGTGGGACTGCGTGACTCCATTCCCCTGGGAAGCCAGTTAGAGTGGACCAGTGCGGATGCCGGATGTGTGACGGCAGAATCACCCCCAATCCCAGCTTGATGCCCAGGGTCAGGACAAGCCCCAGCACCAACCACCCCCTGGGCCAGGCAAATGCAAATCCAGATGCTCTCTCTCTCTCTGGCCTCCCCTCTAAGACTCTTGCTAGAGTTGTTTTAGGTGCAACTTTTGAACTATGGTGCTGGAATAGACTCCTGAAAGTGCCTTGGATGGCAAGGAGATCAAACCAGTCAATATTAAGGGAGATCAAACCTGACTATTCACTGGAGGGACTGTTGCTGAAGCTGAAGCTCCAGTATTTTGGTCAACTGATATGAGCAGATGACTCACTGGAAAAGTCCCTGATGCTGGGGAAGACTGAGGGCAGGAGAACAGGGCGTCAGAGGATGAAACGGCTGAACGGCATCACCAATGCAGTGAACATGGACCTGGGCAAACTCTGGGAGATGGTGAGGGACAGGGAGGCCTGGCGTGCTGCAGTCCATGGGGTTTCAGAGCATCAGACACAAGTGAGTGACTGCACAGTAACAGCTGGGAGAGGTATCTGAGGGGGCCAGGGGTTCACACCTGCAGGACCTACCCAGCTTGTGAAAACGGTCCCATAGAAAGTTCTGGCCAGAGGTGCCTCTAAGATAAGAGAACTGAGGGTCGTGTTGCTGTTCAAAATCCCAGATTTCTCCCGGTCTGTCTGAAGCAGGTGGTCAGCTCCCGATTATGTCAACAACTGCCGGGAGAAGATTAGATTGGGGGGATAACCCTGTTGTCGCATTCCTAAATCAGCGGCATGAAAACCACACTGATTTGGCCAAAACACATTATGAGTGTTTCCAGTAACTTCCAGTTCAAACACATTGACTCTCTTGCTTCCCAGGGTGAGTTGCTGTCCCTGGGACCAGAGCAGTCCTGTGCATGGCAGCCCCCTAAACACGAGGCAGCCACGAAGACCGAGCCACACTGGTGTCTCCAATGCCAGCGGCTCCGCCTGTTGAGACTTCTAGCTTCTGTGAGAAATGGCTTATAAAGGAAGTGAGATTGAGAGCTCAGTGAGTGTGGAGGCCCCACTTGGGGAGATGAGAAAGTTCCGGAACTAGACAGGGCTCATGATTGCCCGACATCGTGAATGTTCCTAATGCCACTAACTTGAGCATTTTTTAGATTTTATTTTTAAAAATATTTGTCTGTTAATTTGACTGCACCGGGTCTTCATTGTGGCATGCAGGATCTTGTTCTCTGAGATTGAACCCAGGCCCCCTGCCTGCACTGGGGCTGCGGAGTCTTAGCCACTGGGCCACCAGGAAAGCCCCAAAATGGTACACGTGAAGTTACATGTATTTTGTGAAAGTGTTAGTCGCTCAGTCGTGTCCGGCTCTGCAACCCCATGGACTGTAGCGCTCCAGGCTCCTCTGTCCATGGAATTCTCCAGGCAAGAATACTGGAGTGGGTAGCCATCCCCTTCTCCAGGGGATCTTCCTGACCCAGGAATCGAACCTGGGTCTCCTGCGTTGGTAGGCGGACTCTTTACCGTCTGAGCCGCCAGGGAAACACATGTGTGTTTTATCACAATTGAAGAGATGCGGGGTGAGGGGACTGAAAAGGAGGCAGAGAGGTAAGTTTAAAGAGGGTAAAACTGCATCTCTAACATCCTCGCTGCAGCAGAGATTGAGCAAAGCGAATCCAAACTCTTAAGTGTTTTTATGTTTCGATTCCCGCCTCACTGTAAATAGTAGGATTCGTCACTTTGTCCTTTGGTGTCTCGCAGAGCAGATGGGTGAGTGGGCTCCTCTGGGTTTTTAGGGTTGCGGTCAGGTCAGAACTGGATTTCTCCCGGCCACCGGCATCAACTGCAAAGTGGCTTTTACTAACTCCACAGGCTGGCACGTTCATGACTGCCTGTGACCCCGTGAGGACCAGAAAGTTCCTTGCTGGTACCTGAAGACGTTGTGGCTCCGGTCAAGGGTACCTCATGAGTCCCTCCCTGAGTGCTCAGAGCCCAGGGGCCCAGGAACCCCGGGACTCTGGTTTGCAGAAGTGGCCACACGCCTACACCAGGGCCGGGCGTCTTCTCACCTGTGACTCTCTGCTTAGGCCAACACAGAGCGCTTTGAGATGGAGACCCGGGGGGTTAACCACATCGAGGGCGGCTGGCCCAAGGATGTGAACCCCCTGGAGCTGGAGCAGACGATCCGCTTCCGGAAGAAGGTGGAGAAGGACGAGAACTACATCAGTGCCATCATGCAGCTGGGCTCGGTAAGGCTTGCTCCGGCTCGGTCAGGGTCTCAGCCATCGCTGCTTCCCCAGCTGCAGGTCAGGCTCAGCAGTTATAGCTCCTTGAGGCTGGACACTGGGTACTGCATGGAACCTTCGGTCTGGGAGCAGGTAGGCAGGTCCACACAGCAGACCCGAGGGTAAGGCAGGGAGGTCCAGTGACTGAACAGGCTTTAGGAGGAATCAGGAAAGTGGGAAACCCTCTGGGCAAAGAGACCCCTAAGGAACCCCAGCCAGCAGCTGCCTGCCAGTAGGGGTCATTCATTCATTCAGCACATTTGGATGGAGCTTCTAGCCTTTGCCAGGTGCAGTAGAGATTGCAAAAATGAAATTCACATATATCCCTTATACCCCACCCTGAAGAGTTTGTGAGCCACTGGAGGCCAAAGACAAAAACAGAGATATCACAGTATTAACAGGGGCTTCCCAGGCAGCTCAGCAGGTAAAGAATCTACCTCCAGTGCAGGAGACACAGGAGATGCAGGCTCACTCCCTGGGACAGGAAGATCCCCTGGAGAAAGAAATGGCAACCCCCTCCAGTATTCTTGCCTGAAAAGATCCCATGGGCAGAGGAGCCTGGTGGGCTACAGTCCATGGGGTCTCAAAGAGTGGGGCACAACTGAGCATGCACGTACCACACAATCTAACATTGAAAGGAAGGCTGTAAGAGCAGAAATGCTTTGCTATTTGCCCCATAAGGAGGGAGAATTGATTTCCTGCTGAAGGTATCAGGGGAGACTTCCTGAAGGAGGAGGCCCTTGAGCTTGGGTTTTTCCTTGTTGGACATTTGGAATAATGGGGGAGAGCCTTCCGGATGGAGGAAACAGGAGATGGATGCCATATACAGGGTGACTCCTAATTCTGTTTGGCTGGAACTGTGTTTCTTCACCTTTTTTTTTCATTGCTGTCTCTCAACAAGCCTTTTTAGACATTCCCCCACCCCAGTGAAAATGTAATACCAAAGGTGTACTATATATTTATGTACTATATGTATATCTGGGAGGCCTGGCATGCTGCAGTCCACGGGGTTGCAAAGAGTCAGACACGACTTAGCAACTAAACAACCACCACAAAATGTATGTCTGTGCTTTGTACAAAAAAAAAAAAAAAGTTATATTATTTTACCCCCATGAAGCAATTTGAAAACAATTGGAACCAATTTCCACCCTTTTGCGGGGTAGATGTTGCCCCCATTGAAAATTCGTGGCCTGGAAGGATGGGAAAAGACTGCGGGATATTTCTCGTCCCTCCCAGACTCTATCTCAGCTGAAAGGCCTCCCTTTACCACTAAGGACTCCTGCTGTGTCCCCCGCAGATCATGGAGCACTGTATCAAGCAGAATAATGCCATCGACATCTACCAGGAGTATTTTGACGATGAGGACGCGGTGGAGGTGATGGACGAGGCCCCCTCAGCTAAAACCATCAATGTTTTCAGGTACCTCTGTAGCCAGGCAGGTGCCTGGCCGACCTCTGCCACCCCTGTGGATGGGTGCTTCCAAAGGGTCCCCTTACCCATCACTCCATGCCGTGGGGATAATGCCCTCTGTGCTCTGAGCTAAATAAGGGGCAGAGCGATAAAATGCCCAGTAGATAAGTGGTCCCTACCCCGGAGGCAGGCCTGGTGGGTGGACAGGGAGGAGAGAGTCAGTCTCAGGAAAGACTAAAGCAAATTTGCAAAGCTGAGTACACGCGTGGTCGATTCATACTGTGTGGAGAAGGTCCAAAGCACCAGACATCTGTGATCTGGCTGCACTGTGAGCAAAAAAAACCCTTGTCCCAAGCACTCGGGAGTCTTCCTGGAATAACCTCCAAGGACAGCAGTGTGACAGAAGCTTAGCCCATAGACACGTGTGTGAGATCACTGGATATTCGCTGCAGCAGGGTGTGCACTAGCCAGAGATTGGGAGCACAATAAACCCATCAGCAGGGTCTGGTTCCAGCAATTCTGCTATGCCCACATGCTGACTACCACTCAGCCATCTGAATGAATGAGGCAGCTCCTTAGGCGAGAGTTTCCGAGATTGCCGTGCGAAGCCAAACCAAATCAAGACACCGAACAGTGTGTAGAAAGCACTACCTTTTGTTTAAAATACACCTAGGTAAAACAAGCTAAATGTCCAATGACAGATGAATGGACAAAGATGATGCGGTACATATATACAATGGCTATTACTTAACCACTAAAAAGAACGAAATAGGGTCATTTTGTAGAGACGTGGATGGGCCTAGAATCTGTCATACAGAGTGAAGTAAATCAGAAAGAGAAAAACAAATTTCATACATGGAATCTAGAAAAATGGCACAGATGAACCTCTTTGCAGGGCAGGAGCAGAGCTGCAGATGCCGAGAGCTGACCTGTGAACACAGTGGGGGGAGGGGAGGGTGGGTGAATCGGGAGTCTAGGACTGACGTGTGTCCACTCTCGTGTGTAAGGCACAGGAAGCTCGGCTCAGTGCTCTGTGATGGCCTCGAGGGGTGGGAGGGAAGTCCAAAAGGGAGCGGATGTCTGTATTCATGCAGCTGATCAGTTCATTATACAGCAGAAACCAACACAACGTGGAAAGGCAATTATGCACCAAAAGAGAAAATCAAATATACCTATGTATATGTGCATGTGTGCATGTATATATGTACATGTGTGCATGTATACATATGTTTATACGTGCAAGTGTGTGTTCTCGAATATGCAGAGAAAACCTGTGATTTCGGAAGCCACTAGCATCAAACGCCAACTCTAGGGGATTCATTTTGCCACCTGGAAAGTGTCTGACCCAGTCCGAGCATGAGCAGCCAGGACTCTTCTGATCCAGGGCTGGGTCATGGTGGGCACTGCAGACTTCTGGCAATGGGCATGCAGGAGATGGGCCAGGGCGGGGCGGGGGCCGTCTTCTCTGCTGCCCCAGCCCTGCTGGGGTCTGACCTTACGTATGGATACCCGAGACGGCTGATGCATCAGGAACCATCACATCCAACCTCCACGTTTGACAGATGGGGAAACCGGCCCCAGGGAGGAGACGTGCTCAGGGCTCTCAGCGGGTGGGTGACCCAGCCGAGGATGGGACTCAACCTTCTGCTTCAGCCGTGCCCGCAGGGAGGAGTAAAGTGGATGAGTCACACGACCAGAAGCTTATTTCATTCCCCCTTGTGTTCATTTCTTCCGATGGCTTCCACGACAAAGTGTCAGCTTGGGACCGTGAAGTCTTTTTTAACTTAATTTTTAGACATTGGAGTATAGTTGCTCTAGCATGTTGTGTTAGTCTGCTGTGCAGTGAAGTGCCTCGGCCGTGTGCATGCACAGACCCTCTCCTGCTTGGAGCTCTCTGTGCCCCCAGCAGCACCCCCCTCTAGGTCATCACCGAGCCCCAAGCTGAGCTCCCACTAGCTGTCTCTTTTACACACGGTAGTCAAAGCGTGTGTACGTCAGTGCTGTTCGCTCAGTTCTCCCCACCTCCCCACTCTGTGTCCACATGGGGGCCGTTACCTCTTTAATCCTTTTTTCACTGTTACACATCGTCTCTCCCCTTTCATTTTTTGAAAGTGAAAGTGAAGTTGCTCAGTTGTGTCCGACTCTTTGCGACCCCATGGACTGTAACCCACCAGGCTCCTCTGTCCATTGGATTTTCCAGGCAAGAGTACTGGAGTGGGTTGCCGCACCTTCTCCAGGAGATCTTCCTGACCCAAGGATCGAACCCAGGTCTCCCGCATTGCAGGCAGACGCTTTACCATCTGAGCCACCAAATTGAGCAAAATTTTTTTGAGCAGTTGTTTTTTTTTTCCCCAAAGAAAGAAAAAATGATTACTTGCAACAAGTAAGGAGAACACCTTGGATCTTTCCCAAAGCAGTCTCTCAAGCAGTTTTAGTCCCCAGGAAAACCGATCAGAAAGTACAGAGAATTCCCGCACGCCCATCCTCCCCCCACCCACACGGCCTCTCCCGCCATCAGCATCTCCTGCCACCCCCACCCCATAGGTGGGACCTTTGTCACAGTCAGAGAGCCACACTGACATCGTTACACCCTGTCCTGAGTCTGCTCAGGCTGCCGTCTCAAAATACCATCACTTGGGTGGCTTACAAACAACTGAAATGTATTCCTCACCACTCTGGAGGATGAGAGTCTGAGCGCAGGGTGCCAGCAAGGTCAGATTCTGTGTCTGATGAGGACTCTCTTTTTTTTTTTGACTGCTTCTCGAAACTTGTGGGACCTTAGTTCCCTGATCTGAGATTGAACCCAGGCCCCCAGCAGAGAGAACACCAAGTCCTAACCACTGGATGTTTCAAAATTGTCACTGCTTGATTTTTATTAATAATTCAGAGACAGCCACCTTCTTGCTGAGAACTCACAAAGCAGAAGGGGTGAGGGGTCTCTCTGGACCCTCTTTCGTAAGGGCACTAATCCCATTCATAAGGGCTCCACCCTTACCACCTAATCATCTCCCAAATGCCCAACTTCTGGATTCCAGCACACTGGAGATTAGGCTTCAACATATGAGGTTTGGGGGGATGTACTCGGCCTACAGCACACCCGGAGTCTATAGCTCACATTAGGATTCCCTCTGCGTGTCACATTCCCAACATACAGAATCGTTTCATGGCCCTGAAAGTCTCCTGTGTTGACGTAGAAAACAAACGGTTAACAAAAGGGGAAGGATAAATCAGAAGTTTGGGATTAAAAGATCTACACTACTATATGTAAAATAAATAGCAAGGACATTCAATACAGCACAGGGAATTATATTCAGTATCTTGTGTGCTCAGCTGTGTCCAACTCTCTGTGACCCCGTGGACCGTAGCCCACCAGGCTCCTTCGTCCATGGGATTTCCCAGGCAGGAGTACTGGAGTGGGTTGCCATTTCCTCCTCCAGGGAATCTTCCTGACCCAGGACTGAACCCACGTCTCCTTCGTCTCCTGCATTAGCAGGCAGATCCTTTATCACTGAGCTACCTGGGAAGCCCCTTAATATCTTGTAACAACCTAAATGGGAATGAATCTGAAAAAAATATGTGTGTATATATATATATATTTCCTTTGCTGCACACCTGAAACTCACACAACACTGTAAATCAACATATTTCATTTGGAAAAGAATCCTCTGTGGTCCAGTGGCTAAGACTCCAAACTCCCAGTGCAGGGGGCCCAGGTTCAATCCCCGATCAGGGAACTAGATCCCTTGTACCACAACTTAGACCCAGTGCAGCCAAATAAACAAAAATATATTTTTGAAGTCCCCTGTATTTTACCTATTTATCCCTCCCTGCCCCTAAACCCTTGGCAACAACTGATCTTTTTCCTGGCTCCGTGGTTGTGCCTTTTTCAGAATGTCATTTAGTTGGAACCATACAGCATGTAGCCTTTTCAGATGGGTTTCTTTCTCTCAACAGTGTGCATTAAGTTTCCAGCATGTCTTTTCATGGCTTGATAGCTCATTGCTTTTTAATGCTGAGTAATAACAATGTTTGGATGTACCACAATTTATCCACTTACTAAGAAGGGCATCTTAGTTGGTTCCAAGTTTTGGCAGTTGCGAACACCACTGCTGTAAACCTCTGCATGCAGCCTTTTGTGTGGACAGAAGTTTTCGATTCAGTTGGACAGATACCAAGGAGCCGGATTCTTCATCTTCCTTCATAGTTTAATATCAATGAGAGATCAAGCCTCAGTCTGAGAACTTTCAGCAAATGAAGACATCAGACTGAAATTTAAAATTTTATTTCCATTCTCTCTTTATTAGTTTCTCTTTGTGGTTGTGAGATCAGTTTTCCATTTAAGGGAGTCCTGGAGGCTTTGTTTTTAAAAGTAAATTTCTCCTAGTAAATATTTAAAGACATTTGAATTCTTTTAAGAAAAAAAATGAGCAAATATGAATAGGAAGTCTGGGGAGCCTGGCACTCCGGTCTTCTGCCCTCTTGCCCTCCTCTAAAGGGACCCCCAGGAAATTAAGCGGCCAGCCACACATGTCTCCTGGCATCCCGATGGCAACAGGAAGTTGGCAGTGGCGTATTCTTGCTTGAACTTTCAACGGGCACCCGAAGGCATGAGCAGCGAATCGTACATCTGGGACCTGGGTGAGGCGCAGAGGGGACAGGTGACCCGGGAAGGAGAGGGAGCCGGGCAGAGGCCAGCGAACGCATGGGGGGAGGTGGAAGCGGCTGGTCCCGCGCTGGGATCCCAGGCCCTGGAGGAAGCCAGCGGCTCATCCTTTCCCTGCCTGGGTTCAGGTGCAGTCAAGCGAAGCCACAGCAGAAGCAGGAACTCCCTTCGTTTCCGGCTCCTGAATCAGGGCATTCAAGACCAGACCCCTGGAGTCCCAACTCTGGGTCTCTGAAGAGCCTATCGGAGAGTCCCCAGCAGACTGAGAAGGGACCCGGGGGGAGGGAAGGGGACCCCCGTCCCGCCTGTCTGGGCGCTTGTCCCTAATTCCTGGCACAGCAGAGCCGGGCAGGTGGCAGGTGATGGGGGCGCCACGCTCTCAGACATCGCCCATCACTGTCACCGTGAAAATGAGCGTTAGCTCTTAGGAGCAGGTGCGGGCGCCCAGCACGGAGCTGAGCACTTCCCACTCTCGAGCCGCTCAGCCAACCCTTACTGCCGCCCCGTGGGCGGACGCTATTGTCCCTCCATCATCATCCGTCTACAGACAGGGCGACCGGTTCACACAAATCAGGGGAGAGTTAGCTTTTTGTAAAAGCCTTAGGGTCCAAACCTCACTTTATACCAACCTGGGAGATGGATTAGAATGACAGTCTCTCACACGCGCACACACACACACACTTGATTCCCAAAAAATAACATCTCTAGAAGAGCCTCTAGAGTCTGGTCACTGAGGACCAGGATTGCAGCCTGGAGAAGGGCTTCCCAGCGATGCCCCACCGCCCCCGCCCTGGACAAGCGGTTGAATTGACTGTGTCCTTTTCTTTCCAGGTCTGGTAGTATACATGTTTTTTGTTCCGCCTTATAGAAAACCCCAACAGGCCAGAGATCACCCTCAAGCCGTCTTCTCCTCTTGTCACCTTGGAGTATAACCCCAAAGATTCCCACGTGCTCCTGGCGGGCTGCTACAACGGGCAGATCGGTAAGGAAGGGCTTCGCCCACCACCACCCGGGTGCTTAACCAGGCGCCAGCCCAACCGCCCCCCGGGCTCTGAGGCAGCCAGGCTCCACTGCGGTCCAGCCAGGGTCCACCTGCCAGGCCAGGCTTGCCGGGGAGGACAAAGTCAGCGGGTGCTTCCTGCAGCTTTCAGGCGTCAGGGTGAGACAAGTTTTGCTGCTGCCTCATCAGCGTCCTCAGGAGTAAAAGTTCAAGTGAGTCTGAAGTTAGTTCCAAATTAAAAGTTAAGAGAACGTATAGGTCAAGTAAAGTCAAGGAACGCTTACTGTGTACCCACCCTGAAGCAGGGCTTCCCTGGTGGCCCAGACGGTAGAGAATCCACCTGCAATGGAGAAATGTGGGTTCGCTCCCTGGGTTGGGAAGATCCCCCGGAGGAGGATGTGGCAACCCACTCCAGTATTCTTGCCTGAAGAAGTCCACGGACAGAGGAGCCTGGCGGGCTGCGGTCCATGGGGCAGCAAAGAGTCAGACACGACTGAGCGGCTGAGACACAGCATGCCCTGAGCCAGGCTGAGGCGACTAGAGGCAAAGGGGTGGTGAGAGCACTGGAGAGCTCCGTCTCCGGAGGGGCTGTCAGGAGGACCTACATGACGCGGTGCGTGATGCATGCTAAGTCGCTCAGTCCTGTCCGAATCTGCAACCTCATGGCCTACAGCTCTATCGGCTCCTCTGTCCACGGGATTCTCCAGGCAAGAATACTGGAGCGGATTGCCATTTCTTCCTCCAGGGGAATCTTCCCAGCCCAGGGTTAGAACTCGCTTCTCTTATGTCTCCTGCATTGGCAGGCAGGTTCTTTACCACTAGCGCCACCTGGGAAGCCCTTATATACGGTAATGGGTGTGAGTAACACCAGCCATACAGAGTGAGTGGAGAAGTGGTTCTTCCTCTTCTTCTTTTTTTTTTGAAGGCCTTTGTGAAGAATTTATATTCATTGTTCCTTAAATATTTGGTAGAATTCACCAGATGGTTGGTCCGAGGATTTTCCTTATTGGTGGTTTTAAAATAGAAAACTCAGCCTCTTTATGTGTTACAGGTCTTCTCATGTTTTCTATTTCTTCTTGGATCAGTTTTGATAGTTTGTGTTTTTCTAGAATTTTTGTGTTTCGTTCATGTAACCTTATTTATTGACATGTACTTGTTCATTCTCTTCTAGTCATTTCATTTCTGTAAGGTTGGCAGTAATGTCTCCTACTTCTTTCCTGATCTTAGTAATTTGAGTGTTCTTTCTTTTTCACTTGGTCAGTCTAGATAGGGGTTGGTAAAGTTTGTTTCCTTTTCAAAGAACCAACTTTATATTTTATTTTATTAATGTTTCTAAGTTGGCTTTATTCTCCATTTCATTTATTTCCACCCTAATCTTTATTATTTCCTTCCTTCTGCTTACTTTGGGTTTAACTTGTTCTTCTTTTTCTAAATTTCTTAAAGTAGAAGGTTAGATTATTGATTTGTATTTTTAAAAATACAGATGTTTAAAGTTATAATTTCCCTCTAAGCACTGTTTTAGCTACACTAAGTTTTCGTATGTTGGGTTTCCATATTCATGCATGTTGTATTTTCTAATTTCCCTTTGATCTCTCCTTTGACCCATGGGTTATTTAGAAGTATGTTGTTTGCTTTCTATATATTTGTAAACTTTCTACTTTTCCTTCAGTTACTTGTGTTTCTAGTTGTATTCTATTATGGTAAGAAAAGATAGCTTTCGTGATTTCAGTCTTTAAAAATCTATTGAGACTTTGGGATCTATCCTGGAGAATATTCCATGTGCACTTGAGATGAATGTTTCCTGCTTATTGCCATCTACAGCCAAAAAATTTCGCAGACTTTCCTGGAGGCCTCTGTGCACATTTGAGCATACTTTCAGCACAGAGCCAGGCAGTTGTCAGTTTTGCCTTAGCCGCTGAACCGAGCCTACGGGTCAGCCAGAGGTGAGAGCTGAGGGCCTTCTCAGTTCTTTCCAGTACTTGGACCACCTGGTGTGAACATCCGACTCCTTGGCAAAGACCCTGATGCTGGGAACGATTGAGGGCAGGAGGAGAAGGGGCGGACAGAGGATGAGATGGTTGGATGGCATGGTGATGCCAATGCCAAACTCAATGGACATGAGTTTAAGCAAACTCTGGGAAATAGTGAAGGACAGCGAAGCCTGGTGTGCTGCAGCTCACAGGGTCACAAAGAGTCAGACATGACTGAACAACAGCAGCAGCAAAAGTGTGCACACAGCCCTGGGACCTTCTAGTTTCCCGGGGATACATCAGAGCTTTTCAAGACCCCCATGAGCATCTCACTCTCCAGCTTTTCCTTTGAAGCTTTTTGGTTAGAGTATTGTTTGCCTCATCTGTTATCCACCACTTCCAGACACTGCAAAGTTAATCAGTTGCCTGCAATTTTAATTATTTTCAAGATAGACTTGTTAAAAAGACCTCTTTCCCTGGGGAAGCTCTGAGTCAAGCTGAATACAGACAACTTTGCAAACAGGGAGGGGGTCTTCCAGAGAACCACTAGACAGGTCAAACAGTGACAACTCTTTGAATAGGAGACTTTCAAAGAGCTCCAGCTCCCTTCTGCTCCATCCTGTGGCTGCCAAGATACTGGGTTTTTAACAGGAAGGCAGAGTGTTATTTTTCAAGGCTATCATAGAACTGGAGATTATAGCGTCTTAACTGGGGCAAGCCAAAATGCAACAAAACTTACTATTCTTATCAAGATTCAGCTATTTTTCTTGAATAAACACTCTGATTTGCTGCCAGCCTTTGACTAATTTCCAGAGTTCTGGAAAAGTTGACTCTGACCGTCGATTTTGCCAACATTCTCATGGACTTTATGGAACAGAGAATTCTCAGAGGGCCTTGCTCTGCCATTTTTGCTGATGGGACACCCAGAAAACTGATGTTTAGATCCCATGTGAGCTCAGAAGAAACCTGTCCCTGTGGCCCTGAAGTTTCCCACCTACCGGCCACCCCTTGAAGTAGCCAAACACTTAATCCTGGCCTCCTGAGACCTCTGACCTCCATCTTAGACCTGCTGCCCACCGCCCCCCGGGAGCCCCAGTGGAAGTGGACTCCCATCGAGTGAACGTGTTAGTCGCTCGGGCATGTCCGACTCTGTGTGCCTCCCTAGACTGTAGCCCGCCAGGCTCCTCTGTCCATGGGATTCTCCAGGCCCTCCTCCAGGGGATCTTCCCGACCCAGGAATCGAACCCGAATCTCTTGTATGTCCTGCACTGGCAGGCTGATTCTTTACCACTAGCGCCACCAGGGAAGCCCATAAATCTCCCTGCAGCTTTATCTGGGTGCTAGCCCTCTGAAAGGCTGAAGCAGAGTCACTTGGCCATGGTTTATTCAGGAGCCCTGCCTCGCTCATCACTCAGAACCCCTTTCAGTGGTTTTCCCTGCCAGCCCAGACCAGCCCAGGCCCTGGGACTCTGCTGTCTATGAGAAAGACACGGTGGGACCTGCCCTCGAGCACTGCTTCGCCGGAGCAGAGCGAGCTGAGCTAAGAAAACCCATTTCTGGGCCAGACTGGTGCAGGGCCAAATGCCTTAGACTTGGATTCCATAAATCGAGATTTATGGATCATGGACTTCTGTTGTTGTATTACAAAACCCGCTTTCCTTAGAAACAGCTCTGAGTAACAGGGTGGGTCCTCACCATATATTCGTGGGAAAATGAAGACAGAATCCATCAGGACAAAAAATGCATATATATAGATAAGCTTTGAGTCTTTCTTGGTAAAGCAGAAGAGATGACGTCCTAATAATGAACCCAAAGAAAGGATAAATCTCCCTCTTGAGTTTCTTTTCCGATCATCAGCAGCAGGGGTACGGAGGCAAACAGGGAATGAATGGACGCAACAGGAGAGATTTGCCCAAGCGTTCTTACTTTCTCCAGGACGGAGGTGCTCCTCTCTCTTTCCCTGCCTCACTCCATCCTGAAGCGCCTCCTCAATCTTAGTTCTTCCTCACTTCCTCCAGGAAGCCTTCCCTGACTGCCTCCCTGTGTCTCCCCTGGGAGCAATCGCAGCACGGGCTGTAACTTGGCAGATTTCCCTTCCGGTCTCCTAAGGACTGTGGCTGTCTAAGTCCCAGTGGCTTCCCCAGGGCCCAGCGTGATGCTCACCACATGTTAAGGGCCCCAATGGAATGAATGAAGTGAGCTTCAGGGGCTGGTAGGAAACTCAGGCTGGCTTGAACTTAGCTCTGATTCTTAAAAAAAAACCCACGTAGCTGTCAAACCAACTCAAGCAGCACCCCCGACCCCGTGCTCCCTGCGCTGAGACAGGAAGCCTGCGCCCCCAGCACCCACCCCCTCATCTCCTTCCCCGCCAGCCTGCTGGGACACGCGGAAGGGCAGCCTCATGGCAGAGATGTCCACCATCGAGTTCAGCCACCGAGACCCCGTGTACGGCACCATCTGGCTGCAGTCGAAGACGGGCACGGAGTGTTTCTCGGCGTCCACGGACGGGCAGGTACGAGCAGCCAGGCGCTGGAGGCCAGGGAGTGGGGAGCAGCAGCGGTCACACGTCCCCCGTGGGGATGACCTAAGAACGTTGCCTTTTGCATTTCATTGTAAAAGCGAGCAGCAGGTAATAGATGCCTGTGGAACACGAGCCTAAAGGTACAGGAGGGCGGGAAGTGAAGCCGTGTCCCCACCTCTGCCCTCAGCCTCCCAGCCCCGCTTCCCGTGGCGCCCACTTACATCAGCCTCTCCGTCTGCCTCCAGGCTCAGCACCCGCATACAGGGCAGACAAGTGCGTCTTTGCAATCTTCCTGTGCACCTTGCACGTTGATTTGCACTTGATGTTTTTCATTCGGCATGTCTCAAAGATGATTTTACATTTCATAAAGTGCTGCCTGCCCCCATGCCTGCTAAGGACTTAATAAATTATGGATATGCTGTAATTTATTAAGTGGATTTTAATAGTTTGTAGTTACCAAAAATGTAGCAAAGAGCGTGCTGGAGGGGTTGAATTTTTTTTGTTGGAGTATTATTGCTTTACAAAGCCATGTTAGCTTCTGCTGCACAACAGACTGAGGCAGCCATGTGGATGCGTATTCCCCATCCCTCCTGAGCCTCCCTCCGGCTCACCCAGCTAAGTCATCACAGCACCAAGCTCAGCTTCCTGTGCTGTCAGGTTCCCACTAGCTATCTAGTTTACACATGGCAGTGTATTTATGTCAGTCCTACTATCCCAATTCGTCCCATCCTCCCCTTCCCTGCCAGTGCCCACACGTTGCTTCTCTATGCCTTGCATCTCTATTCCTGCCCTTCAAATGGGCTCATCTGTACCATTTTTTTCTAGATTCCATATATATGCGTTAATATACGATACTTGTTTTTCTGCACAGAGTGTATTTGCATATAGATTACTGCATACGCATGAAGCATACACATACACACAGCATACACATACGTTCCTGGCAGTGGAATTTCTGGGTCAAAGCATATGTGTGCTTTGAATGTTGCTATATATTGCCATGTTGTGAGAGGTCTTTAAAGATACAGGCTCCAGGGCCCACACCTGGCAGTTTTCACTCGGTAGGTCTGTGGTGAGGCCGCCTGCTTCTGGATTTTAGGGAGCTTGCCCAGGACTCTGATGATCAGCCAGGACTATGGACCAGAGGAGCGACTCTCAAAGCACGCCTGTTCCCTCGGTTGCTGTGTGTCCGACACCCACTGTCTGCCTAGGAAGGTGGGGAGGCGGGTGAGAACTGCGGGACCCCAGCCCTCAAAGCGGCCCCTCTCCCACCAGGTGATGTGGTGGGACGTCCGGAAGTTGAGCGAGCCCACGGAGGTCGTCGTCATGGACATCACCAAAAAGCAGCGGCTGGAGCACGCCTTGGGGGCCATCTCCCTGGAGTTCGAGCCCACTCTGGTGGGTGGCCCCTGCTCCCCGCTCCCCGCCTTCCGTGGCCGGGGCAGCCAGAGCTGAGGGCAGGCCCGTGGCTGCCGTAGAAGGGGCTCTTGGGCCCCAGGTTACTTCTCACCTCCTGCTCTGCACCGTCCTCTGTGGCCCCCCCAGACCTCAGTGGTCTTTGCAACCTCTTTCCAGCAGGGGGCAGCAGAGTAGAGGCAGAAAGCCCCTTCAATTCGCTGAGTTACCGTCTGGAGAGTGTCCGGACTGATCAGAAGGCGAGCTTTCTGACTGCACGGGCTTCCAGAGACGCCCCATTCTATAGGAAGAGCCCTGTCCAGGACTGGCATTCGGACGCCAGGCTCCGCCTCCGTCCCCGCCTCATGTCCTCATGTGGGACCCTGGGCTGGCAGCTCACCCCCTGAGGGGAAAGAAGAGGTGTTGGAGAGGAAAATGAGATCAGGGCAAACCCGACCACAGACCTATGATGGCATTTAGTAACTGAGAAGGAGCAGTAAAGAGACTGCAAAGCTCAGGGCTTCCCTGGTGATCCAGTGGTTAAGAATCCCCCTTCCAATGCAGGAGACGCAGGTTGGATCCCTGGTCCATGAACTAAGATCCAATATGCCACAAGGCAACTAAGCCCACAAACCATAGCTACTGAGCCCGAGGGCTGCACCTAAGATCCAACACAGCCAAATGAATAATCTAAAAAAAGAGAAGAAAGATTAATAAGAAATAGTGGCTTCCCTGGTGGCTCAGTGGTAAAGAATCTGCCTGCCAATGCAAGAGACTCAGTTTCGATCCCTGATCTGGGAAGATCCCATGTGCCACAGAGCAGCTAAGCCCGGGGGCCACAATTATTGGGCCTGCCCTCCAGAGCCTGGGAGCTGCTATCGCTGAGCCCAGCCGCTGCAACTGCTGAAGCCCGCGTGCCCTGGAGCCCATGAGCCACCACAAGAGACGCCGCTGCAGCGAGACGCCTATGCACCACAGTGAAGAGTAGTTCGCGATCACTACAACCAGAGAAAAACCCGAGTCACAGTGAAGACTCAGCACAGCCAAAAGTAAAAAATAAAATTTTTTTTAGAAGAAGAAGAAAGAGCAAAGCAGTCATGTGGATGTGTCCAATGAGGGAGGCTTCTGGAAGCTCAAATGAACAGTCCCTCCAAAAAGCAATAAAATTACCTTCCCAGATGGCTCCTGGCCTGACCCCCTCCTGGGATCGTCACTGGTTTGCCTCCAGGCCGACATCATTCGCAGGCCCTTAGGAGGTGGACGGGCTCTGGCCCCACCCTTGGCCTGGGAGTACCTCCCCCACGCCAAGCTGGGGGATGAATGTGGTGGGGAAGGTGGACGACAACTTTACTGAACACCCCTCACCCCCCAAGTCCCGGGCACTGTGGGGAGGACGCAGAAAAAGGTTCTGTCCTGGAATCAGAGATTTCTAGGCCAAGTGCTAGATACAGTGACCACACCATCGCTGGTCCCCACTTGACCCCCGCCTTGTCGCTGAGTGGACATCGTGTGCTGGCCCCTTGTAACTTACTGCCTGATGCGATGAGCTTGTGTAATCACCCATGACCATCTTGTAAGCTAATGGGATTATCATTATCCCAACTTTGCAGATAAACAAAATGAGTCTTAGTAGGGAGGTGAGTCACGTGCTCCAGGGCACGGAGCAGCCGAGGCTCAAACCCAGGGCTCTGACTCCAGGGCGGGGCTTTCCACTCTCACCCTACCGAGGGATCTGAGGCATGAGGGCTCATCTCCCTTCCTACTTTCGGAGGCCCTGGAGCTGGCTTTATTGCTTACTTTTCTGGGCCTCTCAAGCTCTCTCTCTTCACTTTCCTTTAATGCCCCCCCCACCCCATTTATAGGACTTCCCGATGGCTCAGCAGATAAAAAAAATCCTCCAGCAATGCAGGGGACACAGTAGATGTGGGTTTGATCCCTGGGTGGGGAAGATCCCTTGGAGGAGGAGATGACAACCCACTCTAGTATTCTTGCCTGGAGAATCGCAAGGACCGAGGAGTCTGGCAAGTGCAGTCCATGGGGTCACAAAGAGTCCAACATGACTGAGCAACTAAGCAAGCAAGCCTTCCATTTGTAGCCCAGCCATTCTTTTTAATTGTGGTTAAAAAAAAGAAATTTAAAAACACATAATGTAAAATGTACCACCTTAACCATTCTTTTTTAAAAAAATATTTATTTATTTGGCTGTGTCAGCCCTTAGTTGTGGCACGCAGGACCTCCGTTGCATCGAGTGGGATCTTTCATTGCAGCGCATCGACTCTCTAGTTGTGGTTCATGAGCTTAATTGCTCCACGGCATGTGGGATCCTAGTTCCCCGACCAGGGATTGAACCCCTGTCCCCTGGACTCAAGGTGAATTCTTAACCCCTGGACCACAGGGACGTCTCCACCTTAACCATTCTTAAGTGGACGATTCAGTAGTGTGAAGTATATTGACACTGTGGCCTCTCTAGAACTAGAACTTCTTCGTCTTGCAAAACAAGCTCTGTATCTTTTAATCAACAAACTCCCCACTTTCCCCTTCCGTCAGTCCCTTCGACTTTCTATCTCTATGAAATTGGTTCCTCCGGGTACCTCATGCATTTTAGTGAATTCTTACTGTGTTTGTCTTTTTGTGATGAGCTTTTTTCACTTAGCACAACACTCTCAAGGTTTATCCACAGTGTGGCACATGGAAGAATTTTCCTCTTTTTTTTTTTTTGAGGCCAAATAATATCTCATTGTATGAATAGACTGGGGTTCCCTGGTGGCTCAGATGGTAAAGGCTCTGCCTGCAGTGCAGCAGACCCGGGTTCGATCCCTGAGTCAGGAAAACCCCCTGGATATAAGGGAATGGCAACCCACACCAGTCTTCTTGCCTGGAGAATTCCATGGACAGAGGAGCCTGGCTGGTACAGTCCGTGGGATCACAAAGAGTCGGACACGCGACTAACACACACACGTGAACAGACCACATTTTGTTTTTCCATTCATGTGGACACTGGGTGGCTGTTACCGCTTAGCTCTTGTGAGTCAAGGTGCTATGGAGGGGCCTCCCTGGGGGTGCAGTGACTAAGACTCTGAACTCCCAGTGCAGAGGCCCAGGCTCAATCCATGATCTGGGAGCTAGATGCCGCACGCCACAGCTAAGACCCAGTGCAGCCAGATCCATTTTAAAAAACAAAGCAAAAAGCAAAGAACCAAAAAACTCCAGCAGCAATCATGGGACATGGGTATGCAATGAAGCCAAGTTTGCAGTGAGTAGCAGCTGGGGGCTGGAGGGGGCGCTTCTAGACTCATGGGTCACATGATTCATTCAGTCATTTCCTTTGTGTGCAGACAGACATTCAGGATCTTTTTTTTGGCAAAATGCTTAGTGCACACATGATGCTGCATGAAGGGCTGGTGATGCAACTCTAGGGAACAGATGGCTGGGGGGGCTTCATCACTCGTGGGGCCCTTGAGCAGGTGCTGAAGAAGGGTGGGATCTGCTCAAGCTGATCAAGAGTGGGGGCAGCCCCCCAAAGGGAGCGGGGCACAGCTCAAGCAGAGGTTTAAACCTAAGGCACTTTCAGCACCTTTGGGCCCCACCCCACTGGTCCCACCGCTCTGACCCCGGAAAGCCACTCTCCTTGCCATTTAACCCTGAGCTGAGGTTTCATGGAGCCTTCCACTCATGCACCCCCTCCACAGCCGACCAAGTTCATGGTGGGCACCGAGCAAGGCGTCGTCATCTCCTGCAACCGCAAGGGCAAGACGCCAGCTGAGAAGATTGTGTGTACCTTCTCAGGCCACCACGGCCCCATCTACGCCCTGCAGAGAAACCCATTCTACCCAAAGAACTTCCTGACCGTCGGCGACTGGACCGCCCGCATCTGGTCAGAGGACAGCCGGGAGTCGTCCATCATGTGGACCAAGTGAGGGGAAGATTGGGGCGGGAGAGGGGTGCCGGGGCCGGGCGGGACGGGGGGCCCGGCCCAGCCCAGGGGGGCCCTGAGCCTCTGTGCGTCCACCCATAAAAACAGATAAAACGTTCCTCTCCAAACATCCAAGCTTATGCTAGGAAATAGCTTGATTCAGTGACTTCAGAAAGAAATCCGCTTCACACTGCCCATTCATCTATTGATGGCCACTGGGGTTGTTTCCGTATCCTGACAATTGTGAATAATGCCGCAGTGAACATGGAAGGGGGGTAAGTGTCTCTTAGAGATCCTGACTTCAATTCCTTTGGATAGAGACCCAGAAATGGGGGACTTCCCTGGCAGTCCAGGGGTTAAGACTCCGGGGTTTCAGTGCAGAGGATGTGGGTTTGATCCCTGGTCAAGGAACTAAGATCCCACATACTTCGCAGCCAAAAACAAAAAAGAAAAAAAGTCCCAGAAACAGGATTGAGGACCTTCCACACTGTTTTCCATGGTGGTTGCACCAATTTGCATTCCCACCAACAGTGCACGAGGGTTCTCGTTTCTCCACATCCTCACCCACACTCATCTTTGGGTTTTCTAATAATTTATCCATCCTCACAGGTGTGAGGTGACATCCCATTGTGGTTTTGGTTATCTTCCTCTGATGATTAGTGATGTCGAGCATCTTTTCACGTACCTGTTAGCCATTTCTTTGTCATCTTTGAAGAAATGTCTGTCCATGTCCTTTGCCCACTTTTTTAATTGGGTTATTTGGTTTTGTTTTGTTGTGCCGTTGAGTTGTATGAGTTCCTTATATATTTGGGGTGTTAAACCTTTATCAGATACCTGTTTTGCAAATATTTTCCCCATTCCTTAGGTTGCCTTTTCGTTCTGTTGGCTATTTCCTTTGCTCTGATCCTTTTTAAGTAGATACAATCCCACGTACTTATTTTTGCTTTTGTTGCTTATGCTTATGCTTTTGGTGCCAAATCCAAAAATTCACCGCCGAGGCCACTGTCAAGGAATTTTTCCTCTTTGTTTTCTTCTGGAAGCTTTATGGTTTCAGATGATATGTTTAAGTCTTTAGTTCATTGAGAGAGTTCAGTTTTGTCTATAACGTAAGGGTCCCGTTTCATTTTTTGCTGTAGAAATGTTTGAAAGTCGAGGTTCAGTCAAGTAGGCAGAATAGCCCTGTCTTCATCTGAATAGTGTGAACGTCTCTGGGCAGATTTTCCTTCCTCCGACTCCTTTTCAAGTGAGTCTCATGGCCAGGGGACCAGGCCCAGGCCTGTGCCCTTGAGTTAGGTATAGAGAAACACCAGAGCCCTATACAGTGCAAACTGTGACCCGTGGGAGGTGAGGCTGGTGCGGCTAGAAGTCAGACACCAGGAAGAACTTCCTGGCCAGGCTGAGACCCAGGAGCCGGGGAGGGGCTGGATGAGCAGGACCTCAGCTCAGCAGGCTCTCCCTGCGTCCCATTCCCCCCGTGGTCCCTGACCGGAGGGCCTGGCTCCCTACAGGTACCACATGGCTTATCTCACGGATGGTGCCTGGAGCCCCGTGAGGCCGGCGGTGTTCTTCACCACCAAGATGGACGGGACCTTGGACATCTGGGACTTTGTGTTCAAGCAGTGCGACCCCGCCCTCAGCCTGAAGGTCACGTGCGCCCCCCTCCCGGTGCATCCAAGCCCTCAGAGGCCTGGCCTCTCCTCTCGCCAGGCCTGTTCCTTCCGCAGCCCGGGCGGGAGCTCCCGGCAGCTGAGCCTCCCAGCTGAGCCAGCCTCATCTTATGAGCAGAGGTGGGGTCGTGGGAAAGAGTGGGGCTGGGGGAACTGCAGCATGAACGGGGCGCTGGAGGGACTTCCCTGGCAGTCCAGTGGTTAAGGCTCTGCCCTCCAATGCAGGGGGCATGGGTTCGATTCCTGGTCAGAGAACTAGGATCCACATGCCTATCTGTGTGGCCATTAAAAAAAAAAGGAAAGAAAGTGAGGCTGGACTGAATGAGTGGGTGTGGTGGGCGGGGTCCGGTGGGAGATGAGGCTGGAGTAAAGCGTCTTGCAGCCGACCTTAGGGTGTGGACGCCCTCCTGTGGGTTGAGGCTGGGGTCCCCCTCTGTCGGGGAAGTCCCCAGCGGTGTTTGAATGGGGCTGCCAGCCTAAGCCTCCCCAAGAACCAGATGAGCGGAGGGTGACACGGCTCTGCCTGGCCCTCCAACAGGTCTGTGATGAAGCCCTCTTCTGCCTCCGGGTGCAAGACAACGGGTGCTTCATCGCCTGCGGCTCCCAGCTGGGGACGACCACGCTGCTGGAGGTCTCGAACGGGCTGTGCACCCTCCAGAGAAATGAGAAGAACACGGCTTCCGCGGTAGGTGCGGGCCCCCGGCAAGGCGGGCACACTGGCTCCGATCCTGGCCTGGCCCCCTGGCCGAGCGGGTCGGTCAGGGAAGGACAGACGCGCTTCCACCGCCTCCTGGGAAGCGGGTGGACATTCAGGAGGGGGGTGGTCAGGGAACGGGCCTGAGAAATGGGTGTTGGCCGTGTCTGAACCCGCCCAGGCTTCACTGCTTGTAGCTGAGCGACCCTGGGCAAGTCTCTTGACTTCTCCAGGCTTTGATTTTCTTCAGCTGCAGGTCCAAGTGGTATGACTCAGTCGTTTTGTCTAGTTGTAAACAGTATACATTTGGGGCAGCCAAGCCTCTCTGAGGAAGGCTTGAAAGAAAGTGAAAGTGAAGTTGCTCAGTCCTGTCTGACTCTTTGCGATGCCATGGACTGTAGCCGATCAGACTTCTCCATCCATGGGATTCTCCAGGCAAGAGTACTGGAGTGGGTTGCCATTTCCTTTTCCAGTGCATCTTCCTGACCCAGGGATCAAACCCAGGTCTCCTGCATTGCAGGCGGACGCTTTACCCTCTGAGCCAAAAGGGAAGTCCCTAAAGAAGGCTTAGCCGATGCCAATAGAGAAGCAGCTGGAAGGGACTGCTCGGGGGAAGGGGGTGCTGGGGGGTGAGATCCGTCACCCTGGCCGGGAGCCCTGGAAACACCTCCCCGGAGCCATGGAGCACCCAGAGGGGTTGAAACGCCCTGGTGCTGAGATCCCGGGAGGCCCTCCTGGCTCCGCCTGAGCGTGCGGTCCCCCTGCCAAGCTGGGCCTCTGGGGGTCCCAGGGATGCCACCTAGTACACCCCCAGAGGGCGTACTTCACACCGGCGTCAGGGTCTTGGAACTCCTTGGAACTGCGTGACTTGGCATCGCTGCTCCCCTCCTGCGAGCCCCAGTATTTAGCCCCCACTTTCTTGCCATTGGCCTGGAGCGAGGCTCTGGGGGGCTGCCTTGAGCAGAGGGAGGGGAGCCTGCTGGCCCCCGTGCTGGGAGTCGGGGCGCCCGCCCTCCCCTACCGCGGCCTCCCTGTCCCCGTGCCCCAGATATTCGAGCGTGAGACGCGGCGGGAGAAGATCCTGGAGGCCAGGCACCGGGAGATGCGCCTGAAGGAGAAGGGCAAGGCCGAGGGCCGGGACGACGAGCTGAGGGACGAGCCGCCCGCCTTGAACCTGGAGGAGCTGGTCACCAAGGCCGAGGAGGAGTTCTTCGACATCATCTTCACCGAGCTGAAGAGGAAGGAGGCAGAAGCCATGAAGAAGAAGCCCAAACCTGTAGGAGCCTCGCGCAGGCGGTCGGGGTGGGGTTGGCGGGAGGGAGCCACGGGGCCCCGGCCACCTGCCTGCTGACCTCCTGGGCGGCCCGGAGCAAGTGGCCCCACCAGGCGGACCTTCCTTTGTCCATCTGGCAAATGGGGGGAGTGACTCCCTTCCTCCTGCGGAATTCTAAGTCTCCTAACAGGCTTCCGGCTCCCTGAGCTTCTCAGAATCCTCTGCCCACACCCCAGGGGGCACCTTGAACTCCATGCGCATGACCAACTGGATGAGGACCCAGGGCTGCCTGAGCCGTGAGAGGAGAGGGGGCTGTGAGGTCCGCGGTGACCCCGCCTGGCGTGAGGGGCTGACACTGGCCCAACTCAGAGCCGACTAGACAGCAGCATCCACCCATGGCCCTATGCCAGAGCACTTCCTAGCCGTGTCGCCTGGGCTGGTCACTCCACTTCTTAATTCCTTCATTTCCATCTGGAATATGAGGAGGCTGAGTGATAAAGGTGGTGTCTGGTCACCTTCCAGACCCTCCTGGGTACCAGGGGGCAGAGGAAGGAAAAGATGTGGTCTGCCTGGACCATTACGTTCAGGGGCCCAGGGATAAGATGCTAAGATGCGAAAGAGTAAAAGCCCAGCGTGCCAGGGAGAAGAAGTGAGCATGGAACAGCGTCTGCCCTTGTCGGCAAGACTTAGGGGAGGAAGGAAAACGTACAGAGCAGTTCAAGGGACTTGCCCGGCGGTCCAGTGGTTAAGACTGCATGCTTCCACTGCAGAGGGTGCGGGTTCTATCCCTGGTCAGGGTACTAAGATCTGGCATGCCACTCAGCCAAAAAAAAAAAAAGGATTGAGAAGTTCGAGACAGTGATAACAGAGCGCTGAAGCAGGGGTGAGGCCATCACCGGCCCACGAAGCCAGCCCGCAGCGGCAAGAGGGGCTGGGTGGCCGGTCCTCAGGCAGCAAGGGAGTGGCCAGGTCGGAAGGTGGGTGAGCACGCGGAGGAGCTGACCGGTTCCATCTGGTGACTGCTCCCCGCATCGTCTCCCTGTCCCTGGGTCTTGAGACAGACGGTGACTTCTGTGGGCGCGTTTTGAACCTGGATGCAGTCGGATCTGAGTGGCCTTACTCTCTCACCATCCGGCAGTCGGGGGTGGGGGCGCCAAGGCGAGGCTGGAGTCCCGGCTTTCTGACCCCGTGGCCCGGGCCCCCCCCAACCATCCACGCTGGGCCCTCCAGAAGGTCTGCAGGCAAAGTGCAATGCGGCCACTGACTCCGTGCCTGCCGCACCCTGAGTGTGCTCCCCGTAGCGGCTGGAGCACTCTGGATGGAGACAGTGACTCTCAGAAGAGGTTAGGCGTCACAGAGCCTGGCCCCCGCCCTCTGCCGCTTGCCGCAAGCTTCCTGCGCGTCTCTGCGTCCCTGCACTTGGCCAGACGTGCTGGAGTCAGAACAGAGAATCCTCTGCTGGGTCCTCCCCTGAATTATTTCGAATCCCAGCCACTGCCCTGAAGGAATCACACCGGGCGTTAGGGCAGGGGACCTAGGGGTATCTCGGGGGAGCTGGCTCGCGGCCGCCCAGGCAGCAAGCGGCAGGTGCCCGCTGTCCACGCCCGCCGGAGCCGAGTACCCTCTCAGCCCCTGAGGCCGTAGTGCTGGCTGCATGGTCTCCCGGGCTCCCGGCATTCCCGGGCTCATGGGTTAACATCCCAGTGCCAGGAAGGCCTGCCCCCTACCAACGAGTCTCTGCTGTCTTTCCGTAGCTGAAACAGCCAAGCCAGGAGACAGATGAGGAGGTGCAGGGAGAGGAAGAAGCGGAGGAAGAGAGAGGCGACGGGGAAGGGGAGGAAGGAGGCGGTGAAGAGAGCCCAGCGCTGGGAGGTCAGCCCTGACCGGAGCCCAGCCCTCACGTGCGCCTGTATCCCCTCTCTGGGCACCGCCCTGGTGTTACAAGAGGGAGCTGATCGCCTTCCTGAAAGGGGACGGGAGGCGCAAAGGGACTCTGACTCAGCCCTCCTCACCCTACAGATCCCCAGTCCCACCGACTCCCCGAGGCCCCTCGGAGGGAGCGACGGGGTACAGGTCCATCCCCGAACTGGTCCCCAGCCAAGCTCAGACTGCTCCCCTAACCCCACCATCCCCGTGGATTCAGCTTCTTGAGGGCTGTCCCGATGAGCATCTCCCTTCACAAGCCTGCAGAGCCTCCTCCAGGCTTTCCATGGCCATCATCGGGCCTTGGGAAGGCCTGTGGGTGGGGAAGGGGGCGGGTGTCTCTCGTTCTCCTTTACTGAACGTCCCCACCCACATATACGGCTGGGGAACACAATGCCTGTCCACTTCTAAGATGTCTGTCCAAGCAACTTCCCTGGGAGATGTTTACCTCCAAAAGGGCAAGAGATGACGGATGAAACAAGCCTGGTGAACACAGCGAGCTTTCTGCTAGTTTCGTGCTCGTAAAGTTAAATTATTATTAATAATAATGACAGTACTAAAGGTTAGTGCTTACTATGCCTCCTGTACTCAGAGCTTTTCAAGTTATCTCTGTCGTTCTTTTGATAAAGTCACCGGAAGCTTTCTGCTCTGACTGTTCCTCCTCAGGAGTGGGAGAAACGGGTTCTGGGAGACAGGTGGGCACGGGCCGGTGACAGGGCTCACGAGGGTCGGTGCGGGGACGGGAGCCCAGGCAGCTCCCGTGAGCCTGGGCGGCAGGTGACCACAGGCTGGGTGCTGTGCACGGTCCTCTGGGGCTGCAGCGTGGGCGGCGGGCTGCCCTGAAACTACCGCAAAGCAGAGCGTCCAGAGACCAGAAACGGTAGGACCAGAGAGCAACCCAGAAGCCGGCATGCACCAGGAGAATTCCCGGAACACCGTTCGGTCTGCGAGTGTCCGCTGGTCCCCAAGGTGACAGGAAGTGCCCTTTCAAAGACCACCTATGTTAAGAATCTCACTGGGGAAGGACCCAGGGTCAGCCATCCCTTGTGCCCAAAGAGGGAAAAAAAAAATCCAGTTGCCATGATAAAACTCATCAAGGAGCACATGGATTGAGCACTTGATCTTTGCAATAGCCCCAGAAGGGGTGATATTACCACCTTCAATCCCTGAGTCACTACGTGCCTGCCAAGCAAGACCCCGAGGGACGGGGCTGCCTGAGTCTCGTGGGAGCAAGTGGCATAGCAGGGACCCCAGAGCTTATGCTCTTACGCACCCGATTCCTCGGTCTCCCAGGAGGAGGAAGGGGCCGGCCCGCCTGCCTCCAGGGAGGGGCCGCTGGCACATCCCACATCCTGCTTTGTGGGATCTCCTGTGATGGGCCCCTCACTGCGGGAGGACGCAGGGAGCCCCAGAACTGCCCGACGAAGGTCAGCAGTTTCAGTGGAGAGGTAAGGGGGTGATTTTGCCTTCAGTGAGACGCTTGGCCATGTCTGCGGACATTTTGATTTTTTAAATTAATTGAGTAATTTTTGGCCGCTCTGGGTCTTCGTGGCCGTGCACAGGCTTTCTCCAGTTGCCGAGGGCAGGGGTCACTCTCTAGCGGCAGTGCTGAGGCTTCTCATGGCGGCGGCGGCGGCTCTCGTCGAGGAGCACGGCCTCTGGGTCCTTGGGCTCAGCGGTCAGGGGCGCACGGGCTCAGTTGCCCTGCAGCATGCGAAATCTTCCCGGGACAGGGGTCAGACCCCTGCACCGGCAGGCGGATTCGTAACCCCGGGACCACCAGGGAAGTCCTGGGGACATTTCAGATTGACATAACCAGTCGGAGGGCGCTACTGTCGTCCCGTGGATATAAGCCCCAGATGCTGCTAAATATCCGAGGGTGCATAAGACAGTCGACACCACAGTGAATCATCCCACCTGAGATGTCAACAGCACAGAGGTCAAGAAACCCTGACTTATGGAAACAGTCTATCCAAATGAAATCTCCCGGAGAAAGTCAGAGCTCCCTGCATTGGCCCTGCACACTGACCGCTGAGTGAGACGTTTGGCCTGTGAACTCCCAGGGAGAATATTCCCTTGTTGTATCAGAATCTGGGCCTTTGGCTGGCGCTGGCCAGGGTGGGCCACCTCTGGAGTCTCAAGCCCTTCACTGTGGTGCAGACGTGCCGCGGTGCCAGATGGCATTTGAGGAACAGGTGTGGGAGTGGAGAGGAGGTCCCTGCGGACAGCGCAGGGCAAAGGTTGTCGTGGGCTCTGAGCATGTGACACCCATCACCACCCATCCTCACTGATGACCGTCTGCTTTCTCATTCATCAGCCTCCTCTGGAGCCTGTTGCCTGGTCTTCCCCGACGGGGAGCAAGACAAAACCGTGATGCATCACAGGGGACCCAGACACCACTGGAAAGACCTGGCACGTGGGCATGGAATGTGGATGACGGGGCCTGGGTGTGGGGACCCATCTAAGCAGGATGGGAGAGTGGCGGAAGCAGCAGCCGGACCGGTGTGTCCACAGCAGTTAGGGCCCTCCACCCCGGGGTCCATGCACACCCGGGGGAGAGTCTGCTCCCTCCCGGACCCATGTTCCTCTTTGCTGATGTGATCAATTATGATGCCACTGACCAATGATGCACAGCTGCCACCGTGGCAGCCCGGGACGCTATGGGGGAGTCATGGCCCCATGTACCCTTCTCTGGGGCAACTGGGTTCTGTGGGCCCCAGGGCAGGACTCTGAAGAAGGATCTCCTTGCCCTTTGTTAGAAACCAAGTGCTCCCCCAGGGTCCAGAGGCCCCTGAGATGGCATTGGCCCCAGGGGAGGCCAAGGGGGGCTGCTAGGAACCCACTTGGGCCTGTTCTCTGTCAGCTTTGCAAAGTGGGGGAGAGAACAGGCAGGGGGCCCAGGAGGCCGTGATGCCGTCCAGGTGAGAAGAGGTAAAAGCTGGAGCCAAGGCCGTGTGGCCAGGAGATGGCGAGGAGGAGATGCACTTCCCGAAGCAGAACTGCCAGGATCAGAGTACAGTTTGGGTTAGGCTTCGGTGCTTCCACTGCCAAGTGCCCAGGCTTGATTCCTGGTCAGGGGACTAAGATCCTGCATGCCCATGGTGTAGTCGAAAGAAAAGAGGACTTCCCTGGTTGTACAGTGAATAAGAATCTGCCTGCCAATGCAGGGGACACAGGTTCTATACCTGGTCCAGGAAGATCCCACATGCTGTGGAGCAACTAAGCCCAGGCATCACAGCTACTGAGCTGGTGTCTAGAGCCCGCGAGCCGCGACCACCCAGCCCACGGGCCGCAACTACTGGAGCCACTGCGCCTGGTGTCTGTGCCCCTCGACAAGAGAAGAAAGCTGAGCGCTGCAACAAAGGATGTCCCCCGCTTGAAGCGACTAGAGAAAGCCCACACAAAGTAATGAAGACCAAGCACAGCCAAAAGTAAATGCATTTTAAAATACATATTTACGTAAAGAAAGAAAACGAATGGAGAGGATGAGAGGAAAGGGGAAATCAAAGACGACTTAGAGGTGCAGGGCTCTCGGGGACAGCAGTGTCGCGGACAGAAACACCAGAGTCAAGCGGGGAATGTCTGGGAATAGAGAGGACTTTGTGATGAGTCAGGATGCAAGTAAGATGGGCTGGGACTGCCTGCTTAGAAGCTCCTCTTATTTTGACCAGCATGGGCCATCCTGGGTGGGATTTATGCATGAGGAGGAACAGAAAAGAGAGAAAAATCGTTATAGTGCAATTAATTAGAGGCCTCTTGTACTGATCCAAACAGATACGACTCGGGGGTCTGAAATGCAAGCCTAGAGCATTGTTTTTTTTCTTTCAACACATTTTGGATCTTCCTTTTGTTTTTTTTTACCCTTGCCACACACTCTTTGTTCCCCAACCGGGGATTGAACCTGGCCCTCAGCAATGAACAGAGTCTGCTATGGACCACCAGGGAATTCCCTGGAAAGTGTTTTTGATCCAGATGATCCATCTTCAAACGAACCTGCTTCTCAGTGCCGTTCGCCCACTTGCAAACCGGCCAACCTCTGTACGCAGTCCCGGGAGCAGCCTGGGCCAGAGAACGGGATGAAACCCTGGGAGCCCCTGCGGGAGTGTTTGGTTTCCACCAGGCTATCCTTGGTTTATCTATTTGTCAACTCCAAGGCCACGGGCAGGTTCCTGACACTGTTTATTAATAACTGCACCTAACACAAGCTCCTTGGGGGCAGCCAGGGAAGCCAGTCCCAGAGCACAGGCTGGCATCATGCTCTGGATGTGTGCCAGGCCGTCTGAGACAGTCCCAGGGGATGAGCGGCTCTTCCTTACCCAGCTCCTTAAAGGGGGAATGAACCTCACTGGACACCCCTCGCCCAGTCTTTGTGGTGGGGGGTGGGGGGTGGCCGCCAGGCTCAACTCCAGGAGACGAGAGGAAAGATGGGGGCTTCTTCCATCAGAAGTGGGTGGAGCTCCACGCTCACCCAGGAAACTAAGGCCCAGAGGGGACAGGAACCCTTGGCTCCAGGTGGCTCAGGAGGTTGGATGTAAGGTGGGACCAGAATCCTGTTTTCCTGGGGCCTCCTGAGGCCAGGAATCTTTCCACTGTGCTCCCTGCAGCTGTAATCGCCGTTGTTCCCACCAAGGATGGGGACGACGGCGTTCGACCTGCACTTTCTTGCACAGAACGGTGTCTCGGGCTTCCCTGGTAGCTCAGCGGTAAAGAATCCCCCTGCAATGCGGGAGATGCCAGTAGACACAGATTCGATCCCTGGGCCGGGAAGATCTCCTGGAGAAGGGACTGGCAGCCCACTCCAGTACTTTTGCTTGAAAAATTTCAGGGACAGAGGAGCCTGGCGGGCTACAGTCCATGGGGTCGCAAAAGAGTCCGACAGGACTCAACAACAACACTGTGGGTCTTACAACAGGCAGGGAGCCAGAAGGCACACAGACCCACCACCCATCTTGGCCTAGACGCTGGGTTTACCCATCAGGTCCTGTTAACGGGCTCTTCTGTGGCACAACGCAAGTGATGCAGGCATTCCCCTGCACGTGCGCGGGTGGGCAGCCCAGGCATTCTCCTCCCCCGCTGTCACTGGACAGTCGGTGGGGACACCGCCCCAGTGACACGAGCCTCAGCCACGATGCCCGCAGCGCCCATGGAAACGATGCTGCCCGCTGCCGCCCGGGAGACGCTGAGAGTCGGACGCACGGCCAGGCAGGCGGACGGGGCAGCGGATGCGTGTGGCTCGAGCGGGCGGAAGGCAGGGAGCGCGGGCGCCCACGGGGCGGACGCAGAGCCGCGCCGAAGGCCCAGGGCGACGCTCCCGGGAAGGCGGCGCAGGCTCGGCGGCCTCCCGGGCGGAGGCGGCCACCTCCCGTTCGCAGTGCGAGGGGGGCGGGTCGCCGTCCGGGCCCGCCCCTGGCTCCGCCCGCCCCGGTCCGCGCCCTGGGCCGCGCGCGCCTTGTTGGTTTCGGGTTGTCAGGCAGCGGCCGCGCGGGCCCGGCGGCGGGCGTGCGGCTCGGCCATGCCCGCGATCTCGGCCTGAGCCCTTCCGCCCGCCGCAGGCATGAAGGACAGCGGGGACTCCAAGGACCAGCAACTCATGGTGAGACCTGGTCAGCCTCCTCCTCCTCCTCACCCATCCCCGGCCCCCAGAACCCAGACCCTGCCGGCGGCCCCCAGACCGCACTGGGTGTTTCCAGTAAGGGGACACTTAAGACCAGGGCTGCGACGGTCCAGAGCAACTTTGCCAAGTCGTGGATATCGAGGAGGAAGGCACCCTGGCCACCCTGCTGAGACCTGAGAAGTTGGCCGGGCTTCAGTCCCACCTTCCCACCAGGGGACACCCTGCCGCCAGACTGCTCTCTGATCCAGAAGAGACAGGGGCAGGGGGCGCCTGACCCATCTTCCTGGAGAAGGAAAGTGGAGGTTTCCCGGTGAACCAGGGCACCCAGGACTGGTGGGGTTTGGGGGACCACAGGTGGGCAAGAGTCCCCACGTGTCAGAGGAGCGGGCACAGGATTGAGGGGGGTGGTTATTGAGTGGCTGTCCATGTCAGGACTCTAAATATTCCAGAGAAGTGCTGGAAGCCACCAAGACGGCCCCCCAGGCCCTGGGGACTGGGTCAGAGGAGGGGGTGTGAATGGGGGTCCAAGAAGCTGCTAAGAGACAAAGACAGATTTCTGATTATCAACAGGGCCAGGTCAGGGTGATGGGGGCAGGGGAGACTCAGTGACCCCAAGGCAGATGCACCCTCCCAGCCCCTAACCTCTGAGATCTGGGGAAGCCCCTCCACCACCAGCGGGTGGGTGGTGAGGTAACCGGAGGATAAGGCAACCCCAGAGACTCCTGCCTGTCTAGGTAGGGCGGGCTCGCTGCTTCGAAGACGTACCTCCGCCTCAGGCCCCCCAGCAAGCCCAGGGCTCTGGAACATCCTGTCTGGCAGTTTAGAATTGCCTCTTTGCAAATGGCTTGCCTTGGCAGGTGTGGACGCAGGGGCCGCCCCTCCCGTCCATGGGGTTTGACTGAGGAGGCAGGAGGGCACTCTGACCCTGCAGTGCCTCTGAGAGTGAAGGGTTCTTCCCGGGCCTGAGGGTGGCTAGTTATACCCACCTGCCCAACAGGTGTTTCCCCTTGATCAGAAGAGAAACAGCTTCCCCTTCTTTTGAGGGGACCCACGCCCAGGAGGGGGACCCACCATCTCTCTCTGGCCGGAGGACCGAGCGAGGAGGGAGCCCTTGATGGTGCTGTCCTTGGGTAGGGATGTAGTCAGTACAAGGAGGGGAGGTTCCCTGGGCCTCCATCCCACCACCCGGCTGCCACGTGCAATGTGTCACTCACAGACGCACAGACAGGATGCCCTGGTACCGAGGGCTCCAAGTTCAAAGCCCAGGGGAGCTGCAGGTGCTTAATTCGGGCATGTGACTGATGCAGCTGGGAGGAGCAGAGAGTTGTCTCCTCTGGGCTCTCCTCTGGGGCACAGGCTCCTGGGAAATTCGTAGACGCAGACACAGCCCGCGTGCTGTGGACCTGGGGCCCTCATCCTGGATGGTCGCCTTGAACCACCGAATTTTCCTTAAGATGAGCCGGGCTTGGCTGGCTGATCAGAGAGGAACCCACGGGGCTTGTCCGAGGAAGGATCCTGGGGTCCTCTCATCCTTCTCTCGGGGGCCCGGCACAGCCCTCTGCATCTAATCCCGGGGGTCTGACCTGCCCTCCCAGGTGGCGCTCCGGGTCCGGCCCATCAGCGTGGCGGAGCTGGAAGAAGGAGCCACCCTCATCGCCCACAAAGTGGACGAGCAGGTACGTGGGGGCTGTGGCCGGGAGCTGCAGAGCAGGGCAGGGGTCTGCTCTCACCCACTGGGGACAGGCACCTGCTCAGCTGGTGGAGGCAGGAAGGACCCCCCATCTACCCTCCCAACTCCTGGCTGTACTGTTGATTGCATCATCAAGGAAACCACCATCCTTCTTCCAGGAAGCCTCCCTAGATTGATCCAAAGAGAGCTAAAAGCTTCCCTGGTCCAGGGGGAAGTGAGCTGAGCCCTCCATTCCAGCCCTGAAAAAATTCACACACCTTCCATGCACTCATGACTTAACTTCCCCACCTTAACGGATCTGCTACCCATAGAGCATGTGTTCCTAGGGTCACTAGACTGTTCATGGTTTGCAGAGTCTTTGGATGTCTGTTTGCTCTCTTGGTCTTCCTGTCACTATTATGAGCTGGGCAGGGCAAGCTCCACCTCCATTTACACAAGAGACAATAAATAGTTATCAAGTACCCACAACACACCGGGGGTAGTGCTAGCAGCCAGGAAACCACGGTGAGCAGGAAAGACCCTGCCCTCCTTTCATGGCTTTCTTGTAATGAAACACGTGAGTTTGTGGCCAGCAAGGGCTGCAGAGAAATGCGTGGTGCTGTGGGAGTAAGAGGGAACTTGAGCTTGTCCCGGAGTCAGGGAGGACTTCCCTGAGAAAGGATGCCTGAGCTGAAACATGAGGGATGAAGGGGAGTTCTTTACGAGTGTGCTGAAGGGGGAAACTTCAACCAGAGGGACTTGCGTGTGCAAAGGCCCTGTGATGAGAGGGGGTGGTGATGCACTTGGGTAACTTAGAAAAGGCCAGCGTGGCTCAGGCTGGAGACAGAAGGGTGAGAGGAGGGAGAGGAAGCTGGAGGTGCAGGCAGGAGCCGCACTGTCCCCCGCGGCCGGGGTGGTTTTTGTTTGTTTGTTTAAAGGAAGGTTTTATTTTTGACATTTCAGTCCGTAGTCTTTTCAAAAAGCATTTTTTTATTTTCGGTTGCATCGGGTCTTAGTTGTGTGTGGGATCGTCACTGTAGAGCGGGGGCTTCTCTCTGGGTGTGGCCCCAGGGCTCAGCAGTTGGCAGCGCGCGGGCTGAGTTGTAAAGCCCGTGGGATCTTAGTTCCCCAGCCAGGGATCAAACCTGTGTCCCCTGCATTGCAAGACAGACTTTTAACCACTGGACCAGCAAGGAAGTTCCAGCCAGGATGCTTTTGGGGTAGGCAGTTGAGGATCCAAGCGTGGGCTGGGGGTGGGCACCGTGGTGGGGGCAGCAAGGGCAGTCTTGGTGCCTGGGTAGAAGCATCATGCTGCTCTAGCCTATGGGGACCCTGAAAGCGGCCACTTGCCTCCGCTCCGTGGCTGCCGCCGCCGGCTTCTCCTGAGCTCCAGGGCTCATCAAGGCGGCAGAGTGTGCGGTGGGGGGCGGGGAGCGGTCAGAGGAGGCAGGGAGGTCCCGCGTGGTGCAGAGAGAGACGCAAAGGGAGCGCTTGCTGCCCTTGATTCTGGAAGCCTGACTCAGGAAGCCTGATGGCCATGATAAGACCACAGGTGGGCAACACAGCATGCGCTGCCGGCCTGCCTCTGGGGTTCCCGGAGGCAGGTGCCCGCCGCAGCCTCTTCCTTCAGCCCTGACGAGCTGTGGGCTTTGCAGAACTGGGCGGCTCCGGCCTCCTGATTTCTCTTCCTCTGTTCCCCCTTGGAAAAGGGTAGCCTTCCTCAAAGACCTCAAGGAAAGCAGGGGGAGGCTGGGAAGACCCCACCTAAAAGCCCAGCGGGGGCAGGATGTGTGCACACACCAGTCGTGCAGGGTAGGTTCTGCCACTTACCAGCTGTGTGGCCTTGGCCAGGTTGCTTCCAGAAGCCTCAGTTGCCTCCTCTGTAACTAGGGAGAGTAACCACAATGCCTTCTCTAAAGAGTCTTTGGGAGCTTCCCCAGGTCCTGGTACACAGTGGGTATTTAATAGCTGTGAATTATCATCTACTGGATTTCCCTGATGGCTTAAATGGTAAAGGATCTGCCTGCAATGCAGGAGAGACCCGGGGTTCTATCCCTGAGTTGGGAAGATCCCCTGGAGAAGGGAATGGCTACCCACTCCACTATTCTTGCCTGGAGCATTCCGCAGACAGAGGAGCCTGGTGGGCTACTAGTCCATGGAATTGCTAAGAGTTGGACACGATTGAGCAACTAACACACACGTCATCTACTATAAGTTCCCTGCCTACTAAGGAGTTCCATTCCGAGAGCACGTTCGTAAGTCCACTTTGTGCATTAAGTCCAACAAAGTTAGCCTCAGTTCAGTTCAGTTCAGTTCAGTCACTCAGTCGTGCCCAACTCTTTGCGACCCCATGAATCGCAGCACGCCAGGCCTCCCTGTCCCTCACCAACTCCTGGAGTTTACTCAAACTCATGCCCATCAAGTCGGTGATGCCATCCAGCCATCTCATCCTCTGTCATCCCCTTCTCCTCCTGCCCCCAATCCCTCCCAGCATCAGGGTCTTTTCCAATGAGTCAGTTCTTCCCATCAGGTGGCCAAAGTATTGGAGTTTCAGCTTCAGCATCAGTCCTTCCAGTGAACACCCAGGATTGATCTCCTTTAGGATGGACTAGTTGGATCTCCTTGTAGTCCAAGGGGCTCTCAAGAGTCTTCTCCAACACCACAGTTCAAAAGCATCAATTTTTCGGCACATAGTTTTCTTCACAGTCCAACTCTCACATCCATACATGACCACTGGAAAAACCATAGCCTTGACCAGATGGACCTTTGTTGGTAAAGTAATGTCTCTGCTTTTTAATATGCTATCTAGGTTGGTCATAACTTTCCTTCCAAGTGTCTTTTAATTTCATTGCTGCAATCACCATCTGCAGTGATTTTGGAGCCCAAAAAAATAAAGTCTGGCACTGTTTCCACTGTTTCCCCATCTATTTCCCATGAAGTGATGGGACCAGATGCCATGATCTTAGTTTTCTGAATGTTGAGCTTTAAGCCAATTTTTTCTCTCTCTTCTTTCACTTTCATAAAGAGGCTTTTTAGTTCCTCTTCACTTTCTGCCATAAGAGTGGTGTCATCTGCATATCTGAGGTTATTTATATTTCTCCCGGCAATCTTGATTCCAGCTTGTGCTTCCTCCAGTCCAGCATTTCTCATGATGTACTCTGCATATAAGTTAAATAAGCAGGGTGACAATGTACAGCCTTAACATACTCCTTTTCCTATTTGGAACCAGTCTGTTGTTCCATGTCCAGTTCTAACTGTTGCTTCCTGACCTGCATACAGGTTTCTCAAGAGGCAGATCAGGTGGTCTGGTATGCCCGTCTCTCAGAATTTTCCACAGTTTATTGTGATCCACACAGTCAAAAGCTTTGGCATAGTCAATAAAGCAGAAATAGATGTTTTTCTGGAACTCTCTTGCTTTTTTGATGATCCAGTGGTTGTTGGCAATTTGATCTCTGGTTCCTCTACCTTTTCTAAAACCAGCTTGAACATCTGGAAGTTCACGGTTAGGTACCCAGTTAACACCATTGGCTAGGTAGTACTGCACTGTATTAGGTTTATAATGCTTTTCACCCAAATAATATATTTAAAAACAAACACAAAAAATAAAGAAAGCATTTTTAATCTTACACGGTATAGAACCTTGAAAAGGACGGCAGTGCAGGACAGCCGTTGGCACAAGGGGCTGGCGAGGCGTGAACAAGAACAGGAGTTACTGCCTGGAGGGGGCGAGGAGGCGGGAGACGCTGGAGCTGAAGGGTCGTCAGCACGAGGAGGTGGAGGGCAGGCCGCGGTGTCACGCACGCCTGACGCTGATGGCACAGGCTCCAGGTCCTTGCTGGGAGGTGTGCCTTGGCATCTTTGAACGTTCGCACCTTGAAGGTTCAGTGTAGGGGGCTTACTGCATTAGTGAGAGAAAGTGCCCAGGGTTGCTGGACTGGCTGATGAGAGGGGCCATCCGTGACGGGCCAGGGAACTCCAGAAGAGACCCCTCCTTCCTGGCAAGGCCACTCCCTGTTTGTCCCACTTGTCCCCAGGGCTGTCCAGGACAAAGATGCTGTCTCTCTGCGCTGCTCCTGGCTCCCTGCCGGAGTGGGGGCTGAGAGATATTAACCGATGCTGATGGAAACGCTCTGGTCCAGGGCACAGCCCATTGTGGGCCCACACACGGCAAACACTGGCTCCTTTCTGTCCCTGCCAGTGGAGAGGGAGGCTGGGCTGCGCCTCTGAGAAGGTTCTAGGCTGGGCAGTGCCAACGGGCCCACTCCTTTGTCGGCTTAGACATACAGAGGGTGGTCTGAGCGGTGTGGGCCCAGGGCTCTCAACACGGACTCCGGGCCCTGCAGGAGGAGAAGGCTAGGCTTCTGCCCCCAGCATCTTCTCTCCCCACTGGGTTCAAAGATGCACTGCCTGCAACTTCCCTGATGGGCCAGTGGTTAAGACACCACACTTCCCCTGCGTGGGAGTTTGATCTCTGGTCAGGGAACTAAGATAAAACAAGGATGCACTTGCCTGGCCTGCAGTTTGGGAGAAGCCACAGCACATGGCAGGCTGGCACCTCTCAAACACCAGCCACCACTCAAGTGCTCTGTTCCTCCGACCAGTAAGACTCTGGCCGGCAGGAGGTAAAGACACATGAGTCCAAGAAGCAAAATGAGGGACTTCTCTGGCGGTCCAGGGGTTAAGACTTTACCTTCCAATGCAAGGAGCATGAGTTCAATCCCTGGTTGGGGAAGTAAGACTCCACATGCCTCGAGGCCAAAATTTAAGAAAAGGGCAACCTCCCAGTCTGGCCAGGCGCTGCACCCTGGACTCTGTCGCTCTCTGCTGACCCCCAGGGCTTGTCTATGACCCTGGCCCCCCAGGCCTGCATGACTCACCCCGAGAGGGCTCCGCACTGCAGGCTCGACCAGCCTCACCCATGGGCCAGCTGCTCAGCTCCTCCTTCCTGAGGTCTGGAGCCCGGTGACTGGCAGGGTGAGTGTGGGAGCAACCCCAGCACAACATGGC